CCCCCCCCCACCCGCCACAAAACATGCTCTCCCCAGATACCCATGCGGCCCAGCCCCTCACTGTGTTCTGGTCCTTACTAGAAGACACCTCAGTGAAGGTCTCCCCATTGAACAGTGCAAATTCCCCACACCACCTGGCCTGTCACATCGGCATCTCCACTTGGGTATCTAGTAGTGTTCTCAAGATGAACCTCTCTTAATCTGCACTCCTGATGGCCCCCAAAAACCAGTTCCCCCCACAGCCCTCCTTATTGTCGGCGGATGGCAAATCCATCCTCCAGCTACCAGCACAGAAACCTTGGAGTCCCTCTGGACTCCTGTGTCTCACGGCTCACGTCCAACGCATCAGGAAACCCTGTCAAAATATATCCCGGATCTATTTGATGATACTGAGCGATTAACGTTGACTGTTCCGGGCAGGACCGTGGTATTGTGGTTATGTCTTTTCGAAGCCCTCTCTCACAGACGCATACTGAAATATTCACGGATGAAAGCACACAGCGTCTAGAACTTGCTTCAAACTAACGGGGGAGCCACTAGGTATGTACCCGATAATGGAAACACATGTCCACCCCCAAATGTTCATGGCAGCATTACCGGGGGCGCCTGACTGGCTCAGTGGGAGGTCGTGAGTTGGAGCCCCACGTTGGATACAGAGATTAAGGAGATAAAACTTAAAATAAAAAATAAACACACAGCAGCATTACTCACAACAGCTAAAGAGTGGAAGTGAGCCAAATGTCCGTGAACTGATGAACAGGAAAACAAACTGTGGTATCTGCGTACGCCAGGATATCACCCGGCATGAAAGGAACAGCACGCACGCACTCACGCTGCAACGTGGATGAGCCTCAAAAACACCATGCAGAGTGGAGGAAGCCAGAGGTGAGGGGCACACGCTGGATGGTCCCACTGGCATGTGAGGTCCGGCACAGGCACGCCCACAGACAGAAAGCAGACCAGGGAGTGCCAGGGGCTGGGGAGAGGGTGGGGAGTGACTGCTAACAGGGGTGGGGTTTCTTCTGGAGGGGAGCGCGAGGCTGGGGAGGAGGAAAATGTTTTGGAACTAGTGGCAATGGTTCTACAAGTCTACAAATACGCCCAAAATACCACTGGATTCTATACTTCAAAAGGGTATGGCGTGTGAATTTTATCTCAGCAAAACCGTTAAAAAATTCCAACGTATTGTTCTACTGGCTTCTCCAGTGACGGGCACTCGGGCTGTGCCCAGGTTTTTGCTCTGCTCAATGGACAAGAGCTTCTCTGAGATGCCCACCTCGGGTGGGGCTGCTCAGTCAGGGGCGACCTGAATTTTCAACTGGGAGAGAAAATGCTTTTCAGAGCTGACAGGCTTGTCAGCGGAGAAACAGGGCTACCGCAGGGGTCCTGGCCCCTGCCGGGAAACCAGCACCCTGTCACGGGAGCCGGGGCCGGCCGGTGGGGGCTCCCAGGGCTGCACGGACAGAGGCCCTGAAGGCACTTAGTAAAGAGCAGTGAGTCCATCTGTCCGAGGCTGTGATGGGCTGAATGGCAGCCCCCAAAAGATAGGTCCACGTCCTAACCTGCAGAACCTATGAGTGGGACCTGATTCACAGATGCAATCAAGTTAAGATGAAGCCGTACTGGAGGAGGTGGGGGAGGGAGACCCGATGACTGTTGAGAACTACAAAAGATGTCAGCACAAAATGACTTTGACTCCATCCGAAGCCCTGCACTCAGAGCCGATCTAGGAAAGCTCAGCGCTGCCAAAATTGCCTGTTCTAGCCATCACCAGACCTAGGCCCCCACCTCCGCTCACTTAGAGCATTTACTAAGAGGCCTCCCTAATGTGAAGCCTTCCTCTGTCCCTTTGGAACATCTGCACACCTCCCACAACCTGGGACACTTTCTCAAGGGCTTGAGAACCATTCCCAGGCTCTGTGCGGGACAGAATGCTAACTTCCGTAACCGCCAGCTAGCCTCATGTATCTACACCGATGGCCCCTTTGTGAGTTTTCACTTGAGCCCCGGATCACTGCCCCTCCATCCCCATCACTCTTTATGTCACCAGTCACCTCTGCAAATCACAGTGGAGCTCAGCTCATCCCCTGCTGTCAGTAATTACCAAATAAAACCCGTTCTCACCGCTGCAACTACCGTCCAGCTGTATTTCTCTCTGACCCTGGTGTCTTCATAAAAGGGGGAGGAGAGACACACGGACATGGGGAGAAGGCGAGGTGACCACGGAGACAGAGGTGGAGCGCTGTGTCCACAGGCCACGGGAGGCCAACCATCACAGCCATAAGCCAAGGTGGGGAAAGCAGCCTGGCCCAGGTTCTCCCTCGCGGCCTCCGGGAGGCACCCGTCCCGCCCAGACCTTGCTCTTGCACTTCTGGCTTCCAGGACCGGGAGGCAGTACATTTGTTTCTTAGAGCCACCCAGTCTGTGGCCCTTTGTTATGGCGGCTCCAGGAACCCGGCACACTTCCCTGAGGGCCCTGCCAGGCCGTCTGCGCCAACAGCGTGATTCCTGGTGGGGCCCCGGCTTCACGTCTGCGGGGCAGAGACTGAGAATCTGAGGTCAGCCACGCGGGAGCCCCGGGCCCACAGGACCGACCCCCCACTGAAGTCCCCGGACGCCGGCGCTCAGGGAAGCTTCCCCGGCGGCGGCATCCTGCGCGCGTCGTCACGCGTCACCGCGGGTCGGACCGCACTGCCCCACGACCCCCCTGGCCAGGGACCCGGAAGCCCACCCCCGGTCTGTCCCGGACCCCGCCCTACGCCCCTTTGGTCCTTGCTGACTCCCCCCTGTATCCTCTCACTGTAAGCAGCCATTGCAACGGCCGTAACCACGAGTAGGACGGCTCTGCTGAGTTCCGTGGCCCTCCTAGCGCAGCACCGAGCCCGAAGGTGCTCTCGGGGACCCCTGACCCCAGCTGCCCTCTGGGAATGCTGGCGTCCCTGCGGTTTGCAGAATGCAGGCGGCTGGCGTCACAGGTGGCCGGCAGCCCCGGCCGGCCGGCTCCGGGGAAGGACCCACCCTGCCCCTCTGACTACCTTCTGGCATCTCTTCAGATGTTCCACCTCCTGCAGGGCCTGCTCCCTCTGTCTCCTCAGGTCGAGCTTCTCCAGGCTCAGTCTCTCCACCAGTTTCCTGGCTTCCTGAAATTTCTGCATGAGGAACTCCTTCTCCTTCCTCTGGCTGCCTTGGAAACGTTGCAGCTCCTCACAGCGCTCCCGAAGCATCTGGTTGCTCTGCCGGATGGCATCTGGCGGCAGAGGAGAGAGCAGAGAGGTGAGACCCGGTGGGCGCCCCACCAGCCCCTACCTGGGCCCATCACGGCACCCTCCCCACATGCGGCCTCTTACACAGACATGGCTTTGAGATGGTTCCTTTTATTTTACGTAACACTTTCAGCATCAATTACGCCGACGTCCAGCACCTGAATTTCTCCAAACACATCAGCTTCACTCAAAAGTGTGTGCCAAATGGCACTCTCTTTGTAAGTGACTCGAATTCATTCTGGCCATCTGTACTGTGGCCGGGTCAGAGGCACGCCTGCCTGCCCTGGGGCGCTCAGTCACTGTCTTCGGCGGAGGGAAATCCTACCCTGCCTGCAGACTCCGGGAAGGCCACCTGGGGAAACTCCCTGTGCCATCACTGGCTGCGGCCTGGGAGCGCCAGGTTTGCAGGTGGCCTCCCTGAGCTTTACCGTCCTCGTGTGCCTGTTCAACGGGGATAATCGCACCCACCTCATAGGACGCGGAGGGTTAAATGAAAAAGCAAAGTGCCCAGGGCACAATAAACACACAGGAGACAGCCAGCACCCCTCTCACCAGGCCAAAGGATGAGCGTGTGCAAAGGCCAGACAGTCAGCAGAGGCTGAGGAAAGGAGAGCCACACCCCCAAGGACACCCCAGGCAGCAGAGGACCATCGAGCGTTGACAAAACCGATCAGTGACACGTGAAGGTTCTAGCAACTACAGAACCATATAAGATAGGAACGGGCAATAGCTTCACGTCACCCTCTGGTCAAAACCCTTGACCTGACGGAACATTCTTTCACTCAAACTACAGTGGCTTTGGAGCCCGGCTCCAGAGTCACCTTCTGCACTCTCCCGTCCCCATGTGACTTCTCCCCTGCAGGACTTCCAGCTTCACTCGCCCGACTCCACCTGTTGTAATCCTGCTCGGTTCCCCACCTAAGGCTCAACTCATATGCGACTTCTTTTTCTACTGAGGTAAAACTCACGTAACATCAAATTAATCATTTTAACTATTTTAAAGTATACAGTAATTGAGTGGCTTTCATGTGTTCACAAAGCTATGCACCCATCACCTCTAGCTACCTCTAGAACATTTCCACCACCACCCCCAAAAAGCCCATACCCACTGGCAGTCACTTCCCCTGGCCCCCAGCCTCTGGCATCCACTTATCTGTTCCTCTCTCTGGATTCACCCCTCTTGCACATGTCACATAAATGCACTCCTACACTAGCTTAATGCAATTTCTTCCATGACATTTTCCCCCACACACATACACATTCCAAGAGAAGTCTGTGTCCTCTCCCTGCCCCCTCCTCCTTAGACACAATCATGGGCATTGTTGGGGAGCAGACACCTTCAGGGCCCTGGCGGTTTGACCCAGGACCTGACACAGAGCACCCATTTAACAGGAATGTGCAGAGCCGATGCTGTGTGGAGCCAACACACTGAACAACCGTGGGTCAGATGCACAGAAGCAATCCATGCAGCTTCAAGGTCTCTACCTGCTACTAAAGCCTGAGCTCCCTGGGTGGGGAGCTGGTGGTGCCATAATCTCTCTACACCCAGCCTGACAAACTGTCACCCCAAGTTCATCTTGCCAGAGCACCCTGCTGGGGACCAGCAGAGGCCACACATGTAGCTGTGGAAGGTGAGCTGTCTCCCTGCCCCCAACCTGGCCACCAGCTCTATGTGACCCCAACATAGCAAGGCATTTGACAACATTAAGGACACTGTTTGTTGTGATAACTGGAGGAGTGCTATTGGCATCTAGGGGTAGATGCTAGGGATGCTGCTCGATACTATGCAGTGACCAGGACAGCCCCTAGACGGCTAAGCGTGATTACAAGGCAGGGAGCAGGGGTAGGGTACTGTCACACGCCAGGCAGCAATGTGCCCCTTCCCAAGGGCGGCCACCCTGCCTGAGAGGCAAGGTGCAGGCCCCTGGGACCTGGAGAATCTGCCACACAATACCAGTGAGGACGCGGCAGATGAGCAGATGAGCGGGTGGGGGCGGTGACGAAGACAGACAGGAACTGGTTCCAGGTTCCAAGAGCCACCACCGGGCCTGTGGTCACGCCCCGCACAAGCTGAACCAGAAATCCCCTTTCCCAAAGCAGCCCGCAGGCCCCTTTTCGGACCAGCCCACAGGCCCTCCTCGCGGCAGGCCACGCCCCCTCCCAAAGCAGCCCGCAGGCCCTTCGAGGAACAGGCCACGCCCCCTTCCTGGGAGCCGCCCCCCTACTCCCAGGATAGCCGGTGCTTCATGATGGATCAGGAGGAAGCAGAAAAGTCTGGCCCCGTTGGCCCAAATGGGGCAACTCAGAACGGTGGCTCCGGCTCCAGAGCTCCCGGTAGGGTCGGCCTGCACTGCCGTCCAGCTTCTCCCCGTGCCCACCCCTGCTTCTTCCCTTCCCTTCCCCAAGAGTGGTCCTGTGTAGGCGCACTCTAAATAAACCTCCTGCACATTAATCTATACCTGAGTCCATTTCCAGGGAATTCCCTCCTCAAACAAAAAGGGAGGGTGGCTGAGTTTGAATCACTAGCTGGCTCTCAGGTGTACTCCCACCCCAGACCCAGTAAAAGCAGAGGCACCAGTGAGGGGCGTAAGCCTCCCCCACCAACAGGGCTGGGACCTCTGACGTTTTACTCTGCACACCTGCTATCTTCCTCACCTCGGAGCTCTTGATTCTCCTCCACACAGCGTTGGAAGGTCTCAGGAGTGCCCTGCTCAGAAGGTAGGTGGGGCATAGCTGGCTTCCCCAGAGAAGACTCTTCACCCAGCACGTCCTGGTCCCCTGCCGGGCCGCCGCTGGGCTGCACCATCTCACACAGCTGACTCTTCCAGGGGGGCCTGCTCATCCAACAAGTCAGGGTCTGGAAGAGCAAGGCAGCAGAGGTGTCACATGAGACCCTCGCCGAATTATCTTACCTTAAAGGACAGGGAGTGCAGTCTGTGCAGGAGTTCCAAGGCCACACTTTAAGCAGAATGCCAGGCACTGTGTCAAGTGTAATAGGATGCTAAAATGGGCTTTTCAGTCTAAACGGGGGATATACTTTCGTTCCAAAGGGAGGTGCAGGCCCATATGTGGGATTAGAAAGGCTATGTATGGCTCAGCACTTGTTATAAACTCTGTCTGGCACCTATCTCCAGGCTGTAAACTGAAATTAAGAATTTAGGGGTGCCTGGGTGGCTCAGTTGAGCGTCAGACTCTTGATTTCACCTCGGGTCATGATCTCGAGGTTCAATAGTTTGAGCCTCGTGTCAGGCTCCATGTTTACAGCATGGAGCCTGCCTAGGAGTGTCTCCCCCTCTCTCTCTCTGCCCCCTCCTGCGCACGCACGTTCTCTGTCTCTCTCTCTCAAAATAAATAAACTTAAAAAAAAATTCCCCAGAGAGTGGAAATTAGGGAGAGAATTATTTTTGTAGGGAGGTATCAGTGTGCTGTGAATCCTACCTGCTACATACACCTCCGAGCAGGAGTGAAGGGTTTTGGCCCCTTACCTAGTGTAGTGGGTTGAATGATGGCCCCCAGCAAGATATGTCCATGTTCTGACCTTATTTGGAAAAGGGGCTTTTTGCAGGTGTAAGTAAGTGAAGGATCTTGAGATGAGATCATCCTGGATTAGAGTGGCCTTAAGTCCAATGACAAATCTCCTTATAAGAGACAGAAAAGGAGAGACACAGACACAGAGAAGACAACGTCACAACAAAGGCAGAGAGTTATGTGGCCAAGAGCCAAGGAATGCCTGGAAGAGGCAAGACGGGTCGTCCCCTAGAGCCTGCGGGGGGAGCGTGGTCCTGCAGACTCCTTAATTCCAGAGTTCTGGCCTCCAGAGCTGGGAGAGGATAAATGTGTTACCTTAGCCACTCGGCTTGTGGTCATCTCTCACAGCAGCTCTAGGAAATTAATCTGCCGAGTAAGGGGAGCTTCAAGGACACTGCTCAGAACCACATGAGTGTTCCCTGGAGCTGAGGGCTAGAATGGGACATCCAGTGTCTGCTGCGCACTGAGGGATCTGAAAGTGGGAGCTGGACTCGCAGCCTAAGAGAGCAGGCTGAGCTGCGCGCACTCCCCCGTGGACTAGTCGGCAATGTGGGGCAGCACCAGCCTGGAGCCCTTATAAAGTCCACCCAAGAAGAGTGACTACCTGGAGGAGGAAGCCAATCCCAACACAAGCTTCCAGGAGCAGGCCTGCACTCAGAGAGGACGGCTTTAACGCTGAATAAACTATTACGCTGATAATGCTCCCCTGAACGCCCCACTGAACCATCCATCCACAGGATGTGATGAGCCACCAGTCCTTCCCTCAGCTTCCAGAAAAGCGCACTCTCCTGGTTCTCCTACCTCACTGGCTGCCCCTGCTCAGGCTCTTTCACTGGATCCTCCTCACCAAGCCACCCTATCATGTTGTGGTGCCCCAGAGCTCTGTTCCGGGGTCTCTTCTCTAACATCGGTCACCCCAATACAGAGTTCATTCAGCCTCTCAGTTTTAACCCCCATCCTCTTGCTGACGACGCCCAAACCCAGCATCTCCACTTGGATATCTAGTAGTGTTCTCAAAACTAACCTTAAAATTGCACTCCTGACGGCCCCCAAAAGCCAGTCCCCCCCCCCCC